CACCCATCCTTGTCTAGGTAAAGGTTCCCCTTGACATTTAGTCCAGTCGTGTCCGACTCTAGGGGGCGGTGCTCATCCCCGTCTCCAAGCCGTAGAGCCAGCGTTTGTCAGAAGACAGTTTCCGTCACGTGGCCAGTGCGACTAGACATGGAACGCCGTTACCTTCCCACCGTGGGGGTACCTATTTATCGACTTGTATTTTTACATGCTTTCAAACTGCTAGGTTGGCAGGAGCTGGGACAAGTGATGGGAGCTCACTCTGCTGCGTGGATTTGATCTTACGACTGCTGGTTTTCTGACCTTGCGGCACAGAGGCTTCTGCGGTTTAACTGGCAGTGCCACCACGTCCCTTTCATCCTTGTCTACACTGTGGAATAATCACGTATCATGTGCTGTCAAGTCAAATCTTTTCTGGATTTTCTAGGCAGAGAATACTCAGAAGTGGTTTGCCATTCCCTTCTTTTGGGGGGGGGGGTGCCCTGGGAATGTGCCACTTGCCCAAGGCCACCCAGGTGGGCTTTCTGGGAAGTACATTGGGGAATCGAACTCTGAACCTCTGGCTCTGCAGCCAGATACCCAAATCACTGAGCTATCCAGAAGGGACAATAAAAGTCTAGACCAAAGTAAAGTAAGCCTTCCATTATCCTTCTTTACGCCACCCCACCAAAGCATGATGAGCCCTTTTTGGCAGCCCATACATTCTTGCACCACAAATGTATAAGAATGGACATAAGAGATAAATATATGTGCGTGTACCTGTGTGTACAAAAATGCCACAGATACTTTGAAAGACTGCTCTTATGGATACATGTTTCAACGACACAATTCAGAAACACTTTTGGGAATAAGACATCTGCAACAACAATAGGAAGTCATTTGGTTGGTGGTGGATATTTTCTGGGGGCTTCCTAGCTGGGTGTGCCCTGGAATGACAACCATCACCTGGGTTTCTGTTTCCTACTAGATACCGTATTTTTTGCTCCATAAGACTCAGTTCCCCTCCCCAAAAAATTGTTGGGGAGGGAAGTGTGTGCATCTTATGGAGTGAATACTGTAAAAATGGTGCAGATCCTCCCCAGAGCCCATGCTGCTGTACTCCTCTTCTTCTGTTGACCCCCCGCTCAGGGTTTCTCTCGTCTCTCCGCATCTCTCTGACCAGGCCGAGACCTGATTGTCGGAGGGGCGCCTGCCGCAGCCCCGCACTGCCACCACCGCCACCAGCGGAATGCAATGTGAGGGGAGACTCAAAATGGGGGAAGCAACAAGCTCCTTCTCCTCCTCCTCCTCCCCTCCATAGCTTTTCTCTGTTCTGTTCATTCATCTCAGCTTTCTTCTCGCCCTCGCTTTGCTTTTCGCTCTGCCAGACCTTCCTTCGCTCACACAGCAATGGTGCTCTGCCAGCCCTTCCTTCGCTCACACAGCAACGGTGGCTCCTCCTCTTCACACTTCCCCCTTCCTTCCTCTCCCCTTCCCGCCTCCCTCCTCTCTCTCTCTCTCTTTCACTCTTCTGCCTCTCCCCTTCCCGCCTCCCTCCTCTCTCACTCTTCTGTCTTTCAGGACGCCCATCAGGGACTGGCTAAGGTGTCTCTTCTGCACTCCCCCAAAAATAAGGTCATGGGGGAAACAAGGTAACGATAAACGAGAGCGGGGAGCCTACGATTACTACTTGGGCTATGGTTCCTGCCGCCACCCAGGTCACGAGGGAGATGCCGCAGCGCTGCCCAGACAGCCAGGCATGACAGAAGTTTTTTTTCCTGTTTTCCTCCCTCTAAAATTAGGTGTGTCTTATAGTCAGGTGTGTCTTATGGAGCGAAAAATACGGTATGTTCCACGGGATGTGCTTACATCTGGCTAGGATGGATACTGGAGCTTCCATCATGTCACATCCATCATGATGCCCACATTAGGATGTGATGGCTAGCTGGCATCAGCTGGCATTTGAAAGAGACTGCACCACCTCAGGAAGCCCAATGTCAGGTCCCCAACCCTCCAGTTCTGGTGCCTTCGTTGATGTCGCTTTTTGTTTGTTCACTCTTAGCAATACTCAAGACTGTACAATCCAGGTAGCACCTTGTTAGAAGCAGAGCTACCTTCACTGGCAAAAGACATTTGCTTATCCTGGCATGAGGTTGCAGCAGCTTCACCAACAGGACATTAATTTGCTTTTGCCTCATCACTGACTGTTGGGATGTAAGTGCAGGCTTCCTTTACATGTCTGATTGTGCAAGCACAACTGTTTTGTAGGATTACATTTCTGCAGGAATAACAACAATTTTCTAACTGTAAATGACATCTTGTCTAGTTTAGATTAGTTCAGACCTTAAGGAGATTGCATATCCCCTACCATTAGCCTGTTGCTACATGCACAGGCATGCATCTCAGTGATCAGAGTTGCAAACTAGGCCCACGTTTACCTTCAATAACCAATCACAGAATAAGGAACGTTAAATGCAAGACATGTAACATGTGTGCTTTGGTCATCGGATAACTTTCACAACTTAAAGGAGCTCCTTAAGAAAAATCATAGCTGTTCTGTCTTTCTTGCCCTTGAATGAGCAAACACAGAAAACACCACCTTTCTGCCCACCTTTTCTTCCCAGGTTCTGGGTAATGGTGTGGATGGGGCAGAAATGGGAAGATCCTTGATTTGCACAAGCTATCGCCTGCCTGCCAGTAATACACTGTATAGTTTAATGAAGCTCACTAGGAGTAAGTTATGCTTATGATGCTTATTGTGGCACAGTGGTTAAACTCCAGCACTGCAGTCAAGACTCTGTTCATGACCTGAGTTTGATCCCGACAGGCTCAGGTTTCTAGCTCAAGTCTGACTCAGCCTTCCATTCTTCTGCGGTCAGCAAACTGACTATCCAGCTCATAGGTAAGAGGCAAAGTGTAGCCTGCATCACTAAATTGTAAAATGCCCAGAGAATGCTTTACGTGCTATGTGGCTGTATGTAAGCAGCACACTTTGCTTTTGTCTTTGCTTTTATGAAAGAGATGGTAAGTTGAGAACCCAAAGCCAGTGTGGGGTAGAGTGTTGAAGACACTCGGGAGACCTGAGTTTGAGTCCCTGCTTGGCTTTGCAACTTACTGGGAGAGAAGTATAGTGGTGCCTCGCTAGACAGTTACCCCGCATGACAGTTTTTTTTTTTGCTAGACATTGATTTTTTGCGATTGCTATAGCGATTCGCAAAACAGTGATTCTTATGGGGGAATTTCGCTGGACAACGTTTGGTCCCTGCTTCGCAAAACGATTTTTGCTAGATGACAATTTTGACAGCTCCCTCCG